CTATCTCTGTATTAGTCTGGGTACTTTGGAGAAACAAATCCACAGCAACATGTATAAGAGAGAGTTTTATGCAAAGAAAATGTGCATCACGAAAACATCCCAACCCAATGCTGCCCAAGCCCACAAGTCCAACATTAACCCATTAACCCAACACCAGTCCACAAAGTCCTTCACCTCACAAAACAGAGGCAATAATGCCGACTGCAGGAGGAAAGCTGAGTCAGTGAACGTGTAAGCATCTCAGCACTGGCAGGGGTCTCCACACGGCTGCTCCAGCACCCAGGGCTGCATCGGGATAGGTCCATGCGGCTTCTCCTTGGGGATGTCTTGTAGGAAGTCAATCTTGCAAGCTGAAGCAGGGAACTGCTAAGGCAGCTGCACCCGATGCAACCATCACAAAACAAGAGACCCAAGAACTAGAAAGGCGAGGCTTCACCACCCATTTATCCCTCCGCCTTTCAACCAGCCCCACATGTGATTATCGGCCAGGCTGGCACAATTAACTAACTCAGTCTCAATGAGGGCTTTGCTTCTTTTGGTCAACTCTAACATGCAAGTTGAATGCTGACTCCGTAAAACACGCTGAACAATTGGGTAAAGCTGCATTTCATCTCAGGAAATTTTGACCTATGAAATTTGCCTAACTATATCTGCTGTATTTCGGCTTCTTCACTCTTAACATTTTTCAAAAGAAAGATCTTTTTAAAATCCCCCCTTTTCGAGTTTGATTTTAGGCCATTTCGCTTTCCGTTTCCTTCACGGTGATGGGGTTGGTTAGGGCAGGAAAAAGCAACAAACAAAGGAGGCTGCAGAATGCTCGGGATGTAGTTCTATGCTCAAAACAACCTCCTCTCAACCATGTCCAGGAGCAACGTCTCTCTGGTCCTTCGGCCCCTTCACAAGGCCTATTTCCTGTTTGAGGAAAAGTTACCAAGTTCTATTAGCTCTGCCAGTAAGTGGCCAGAGGCACTCCACTCGGCCAGGAAGCATTGGCCCAAAGACGCTGACTGGATCGAGCTCCTCCAAGTGCCCAGAGTCCCTCTGTTCCACCAGCGAGCTCCCTGCCTTCCGGACTGGGGACTCTTCCTCAAAGTCTTCGCTGGTCTGCCATGTGCCTGGTTCTGCGGTCCTGGGGTCTCGGCCACTGCTTCTCGTGTCTCCTGTTTTACAACGTTCTCTCTTCGCCTTTAAGAAAGCTCTATGTTGATTCGAATCTGTTGCTCTGACTCCAAGAAATTTGCAGGAAGATTTTGCTTTTAAGAAAACCTGGTGCAGCATGAAGCTAACATTCAACGGGGTTTGACGTGAGCCCCATCCAGACCCAGCCTGCAGCCGTGAGCAGGGAGCGTGGAGTCGGACTGCTGAGCTCCTTCCCCAGAGACTGCGCTGTACATGTTATTTCTCCTTTACACCCACTGTGTGCTTACCGTAGCATCCTGGCTTTGACCTAGATTTTAACCTTTCCTACGTTTTTCTGTGTTCTGTGGTATGAATTGGTAAATTGGTCTGGGAATGCTAATAATCCTTTCTAATATAAATGCATATCAATTGCTTCTTTGCCTCAGGTCATCTCAGATTAGTTTTAGAGAATTAGGGAAACTGTTATCACGTCTGAACCATCTGAAAATCCTGTTTTGCATTGAAAACCCAAGCTTTCCAGGACCCACCAAAGGTGTGTCTTCCTCATCCTGTTTCTCACAAGACTTACCAATCCATAGCATAGATGCTGATATAATACGAATTATCTCCAGAGGTGGGAACTACCTTTCCATTCATCCTGTCCCCATCTCCCCACTAAGTGGTTGACCGGTGAGTCCCGGAGCATGAGTGCCCTGTCTATCCAGCACTCCCCTGGGCACCGTCTGTGTGAGGGAGGGCAGGCTCTGAAAATAGAAGGAGCGGAGGGCCCCGCTTGTTTGTGTGTGACTAAACAAAGACATCTCGAGCCTTCTTTGAAGGAACTGGTTGTGCTGTCATGGATCGGATGCCACAGACCCTGGGAAAATTTCACTTTTCCCTTCTCTACGTGGGAACTTGCTCAGTAATGCAGGGCGTTGTACAAACCAGGCTCAGGGGGTTGGGAGCCACAGAGCCAGTGCCCAGCGGAACTCCTTCTGCTATAACCCTTCAATCCTGGTTCAGGGTGAAAAGAAACTACTGTGACTCACGTAGGGCTTCCCTCAACCAAGATAACCAATTACCAGGAGCTGGGGGACCACAGAACCACTCAGCTGGGCAGCAGCCTTTCGGCTCTGCACCGGAGCCACCGAACAGAAGACTGAATGACTTTCTGTCTTACAAAATCACTTGTTTTTAAATTGCTTTAATCTATGGCCATCCTGTGTGTGATGCCTTTTAGAGGCCATCCATGCTTTTAATTTTCAGTGTGGCCAAAGGCCATAAATAAAATGTGTCCTATTTAAAAAAAAACACCCCCAAACAACCCATAGACCTTTATGGATGCACAGATGTGCATGGGGGTGTTTGTGTAGGGTGTGTGTGTGTGCACGTGTTTTCCTTAAACACGAAGAATGCTTTTTCTTAAAATTGCTGTAACTTTTCTGGACTGAGGGCAATGCAGCAGTAACCAGAATGGGGAGGTGGAGGGGGAATGCCACTAAGCACCTTGTGTTCTTAACCCTTCACATGCCGCCTCACCCTGCCAGGGACTGGGTGACTGAAGTATCGGCAGGGTTTATGCATCAGGCGCTGTGAGCCCTTACAGGCGGGTGCCCATGGCCTTTGCAGTCAGGTCGACCCCGCCTCATGGCGATCCCCTGGCCTTCGCCACCGCAGGAGACGTCCGTTGGGGGCTAGACCATGGTAAACCGTAGGGCTTTTAATTGCTGCTTTTTGAAAACCGTTTCCCAGGGCTTTCTTTTTAGTCTGTCTTAGTCTGGAAGCTTGGCTAAACCCCGCTAAGCATCGTAATAGCATTCGAGCTCTTACTGATGTATGGGTACTGGCTGTGTATGAGGTGCCCTGACTGGGGATTAAACCTGGGTTAAAGATCAGAGGTGTCACTTGGAGGACTGAAGTGTGCCCAGCTATTCTCAGTCACCTCAAAGGTATGTGAAAGGTGGACAGGGAGTGAGGAAGACCAAAGAAGAATCGGTAAATACCTTTGGATTGTGGTGCTGGAGAAACATAGGAAAAGTACCGTGGACTGCTAGCAGGACAAACCGATCTGTCTTAGAAGAGGTACAGCCAGAGTGTTCTTTGCAAGGATGGCAAGACTTCATCTCACGTACTTTGGACAGGATGTCAGGAAAGACCGGTACCTGGAGAAAGACCGGTACCAGTACTGGGTCAAGTGGAAGGGCAGCACAAAGCAGGAAAGCCCCCAATGAGCTGGAATGACCGAGTGGCTGCAAGAAGGACCTCAAGCATAAGAAGGGTTGTAACAATGGTGCAGGACCGTGCTGTGTGTTTCTTTGTCGTGCACAGGATTGCTATTGCTCTGAACCCCCTGGGTAGCGCATAACAACAATATCGACTCTGTTCTTTGCCGCCCTGATGTCACCTGGCAAATGGGCCTTCTCGGGTGCTCATCTCAGTGACGGGGAGGCGGGTTTTTGAATGATCATTTGCCACCTTATAAGATAAAAAAACAAAAGAGAATCCCTGGGAGTGCAGATGCTTAACACAACAAAGGTTCAGGTTGGGGATTTGAGCCTGCACTGTGAATCAAAGTAAAATGAAACCCTTGACCCCATCAGTCTTTTGCCATTGATCATAATGCTAACTGTTAGTCCATTGGTTAGGATTGGGGTTTTCTTGAGACGAATACTGAGCTTCTCCATTGCCCTTGCTTCAGATGTCGCCAATTCCATCTGGCAGGGTCCCTGTGTACACTCACTCTTTATGCTGTTGGAAAAAGGTGTTTGCCCTGAAGAGGTCGTGGGTCTTGCAAAAGTCTATCCTGTACTCTCTAGCTTCCTTCCTATCACCGGGGCCATGTTTCCCAAGTACTGTGCCTTCTTCATTTCCAACGTTTGCATTTCAATCACCAAGAATTATCAATGCCTCTTGATTGCATGCGTCATCAATTTGGGGCATAGTGACCAATCCCAATCCATTTCATTTCAATAATGCCTAGGCTGTCTGTTGCTCTTCTGTGTTCCATATCAGTTTTGATAACTTTCAATTGCCCTATATTTATTCTTCATACATTCCAAGTTCCAGTTATTAATGGATGTCGCAACTTCTCATTTTGAGCCTCCCCTCCTCCCCCGAAAACGGAGGCTCCAAAAGCATTACTTCATTCGTGTCATTAAGGTCACCCTGACCTTGAAACAGCAGCTCCTCCCTAGTTGTATTTGGGACGCTTTCCAAGCCAGGGGACTCATCTGGCTGTCGGCTCTGTAGCTGAAAATGTTCCGCCACCGTTCATTGGGTTCCCATGGCTAATTCCTCAGAGGTAGACAGCCTATTTCTTCCGACTTGTGTTCGTGAAACTTCTGTGGCATAGTTTCCAGCATGGCAACAACACACAAGCCGCCCCAGTATGGCAAACCGAGAGGAAAGTGCATACCGTGGCACCGGATTTAACTCCTATGTGCCTCGCTTCCCACATCTGCACATTCAGGCTAGTGATTCCACCTCATGGGCTTATTGCGAGAATTATTCAGACTGAAGCCTGTGAACGTGGCTGGCCAATCAGGGACACCATTGTGCCGGAGTAGTAGTCCCACTGCAGGACCGAGATGGGGCTTCCTACTCTCGAGAAAATTTCCACCCTGTCCCGTAGGTCACGTTGAGGGGGAATGGACTCGAGGCAGTGAGTTGGGGCTTTTTAGTTGCCTGCACGGGTTTCCCCTGTTGTCTCTTCCTTCCCGGCGCTCACTGCTGCATCGGAAGGTCCGAGAGCAGCACAGAAGGGCACCAGTGTAGTCTCCCTCCTCCCCACATCCCTGAGAGAACTGAACGCCCTAAGTGGCATGCTCGACTTCTAGCGAGAAAGGGTCATTGATGCTGTCTCTTGCCTCCTCCTGATACAGGATGTCAGCTGCAATGAGCTCCCGGCTCTGCCCCATCAAATAGGCCAACTGAAGTCACTGCGGGAGCTGAATGTCAGGAGGAATCACCTGAACGTGTTACCCCAAGGTAAAAGAGACAACGTGCCCAGTGAAGACAGTCGGCAGTTTACATTTAATTTCTACTTACTTTGATGAGGAGGGTGGTCCTAGACATGTTGATGTATGCCTGTTAATATGGATGCAGGTCCTGGAATGGTACACGACTGATAACCTAAAGCAGGGGTCCACAGACGTTTTAAACAGGGGGCCAGTTCACTGTCCGTCAGACCCGTTGGAGGGCCGGACTATGGTTTTAAAAAAAACTGTGAACAAATTCCTATGCACACTGCACATACCTTATTTTGAAGTAAAAAAAATGGGGCAAAAACACCCAGCGGGCCGGGTAAATGTCCTCGGCGGGCCGCATGTGGCCCACGGGCCGTAGTTTGAGGACACCTGACCTAAAGGTTCTGGCTCACCCAGCGTGTCCCGGAAGAAAGGCCTGATGCTCTGCCTGCGGTAGGGAGTGCAGTTCTCCTCTGGAGCATGGGCTCTCCATGGGTTAAATGGAATCTTACAACCAAAAAAATGTATTGTGATTGCAATGGGAGTTTCCCATGCAGAGAACAGAAAGAGTATGTGTATGTTGTGAATTTGAATCCGATGGCCCAGCAACAAAGACACAACAGTGACAACAAGAATTTTGTCAAATGGCCTTGTGGGTGAGGAAGGATCTAAATCTCACTTACTGAGAATCTCACTGGAACCTAACTCGGGAAGAAGTGGATGGGAAGTACAATACCGGGTGCTTTCCCTAAGACGCACGCCAGATTCCGAGATCTCATTGAGGCCCCTCGTCTCCGCGTCAGGGCACTAGGCATACCTCACGTCACGCAGGTACTTTCAGGTACACCTCAAAGCAAAACCAGTCAGCATTTGGTTAATCTGATATTATTACAGAAGGTTGAGAGCTGCCTCATTACAGAAGGTTGAGAGAATGTGTCAGTACTCTTCCTGCATCCTCTGAAATGCTGCATTTCAATAGGAAACGCTGCTCGCGAAACAAGGGCCAATTGTATCAGCGCTGACTTGCTTTAGAGACGGGAGGCTGAGAAGCCTGTCTGCCATCATTTCCTCTTGCTGGTGCTGACGAACATTTTAAAGCAGGAAGATAAATTACCTCTCCATCAAGATTTACTACCTTAATACTTGAGAGGGCTTGCTGGAAAAGGCTTTCATTCTTTCATCGCACAAATCCAATCCTATTCCACAGGAAGCAAGATGAGCAGGGGCTTGTTGGACTTCCTACCAAGCTACTGAGTGTGGGTTTCGGCACCTCTTCGGTCATTGTGAAAACGTCACAAGTAATCGAAATTAAAAAAGAAATATATTGCTTCTTGGCCTTTTGGCTAAGATCAAGTGTAGTATCTGTTCTTATCAGTTTAATATCTGATAAGTCCTCTATCCGAGGACAATATATTAAATGGATTTTTGGAGCAGGGAGATGGAATAGGAGCTTGCTCCATCCACTCCACGCATCGACCTGGTATTGCAGTACATCCAGGAACGGTGCACCCCCCCCCTCGGGGGACTTTAAAAAGAAAAAAAAAAGAAATGTAATTTATGGTGAGTGGGTTACCTGTTGGACTGTTATTTGGAGGTCAACAGTTTGAACCTCTGAGAAAGTGAGGTTTTCTACGCCTTTGAAGAGTTCCAGCCACAGAACCTTAAAGGGCCAGTTCTACTCTGTCCTGTAGGGTCTCTGTGACTTGATGGCCGTGATGTTTGGGTGGGTGGCAAGAGTGGAGATCCATGTGAGAGGAAAGTGCACCTGCATAATGTAGGGTTTCCATTGTGTGCCAATCAATTCTGGCTCATAGGACGACTCTTTACGACAGAGTAGAACTACGGGGTTCCTTAGCTCTAATCTTTATGGGAACAGGTCTCCAGCACTTTTTGCCCACAAGCCACTGGCAGGTTTGAATTGCCAACTTTAGGTTAGTATTTAAATGGTTAACCATTAGGCCACTGGAGCCACCTTTTCTTTCTCTTACCACTTTGTATTTTCTTACGTTCCAAATATTTCTTCCCCTAAAAAGCTGAGAAACAAACTTCCTAGATCTGTTTTCTTGATTTTGATGTGTTGAAATTCACTCGATGCTAAAACTTTAATATTCTGGAACATTTAAAAAAATGTGTTTCATGGGTTTGTGTGCTTCATTCAAGAGCTCTGTTAACGAAGATCTGGATGCTGTAGCAAAGTGTGGTGAAGAAATCAGATGATGCCCCGCTATCAGAAAGAACAACCTCTGGGGTCTTAAAAACTTATCTAAAACAAACAGCTATCTAACAGAGGTGTCAATTAAATCCACTCAGAAGCACACCAGACTGTGATCAAAGGATTGTAAGTAATAAAATCCAAGACTGGAGGGGGGAGCTGTGTTAGCGCTTAAAGTCTAAGCACCTGGTTTCCATAAAGCTATGGATGACAGTGAAAGCCCAAAATCCATTCTTAGGGTACTCATTTGGATTATACCTGCAGCGACTGCCCTATGACCATTGATTGATCAGGGATGTGACTATCCTTGCCCTCAGAGTGCATTAGAAAGTAGATTAATGCCGCTGTGGTTAGGTTAAAATGTAACACCTTATCATTTGTTTTTCTTTTGACTAATTTTAAATTTGTTGTAGGTTTTTATTATTTCCAGCTGTCATTTGGATTGAGGTTTTTGTTGGTAGTGGTGGTGTTTTGTTTTGTGGTGTGTGTGTGTGTGTAAAGGGGAGCTAATTATAATGAGTGCAAGAATGAGGAAAATCTCAAATTGATTGTACAGTTCTTTTTTAATCTATTTAAACCATTGAACTGTGTGGTACGTGATTTAACTGTCAATGACAGTATTAAGATTAAAGAGAGGGGGCTCTGTAAACAAATGATGAGCAGTGCTTTCCCCAGAGGGGCCTGGCCATGGGGCGCCCCTAGTGCTTGGTTTCTGCTGCTCTGTATTCTTTGAAGAACTAGCACATCTTTTGTTTAAACAGCAATAATGCTGTTAGGCAACAAATTGTAAGATTAATTCGTCATGTCATATTTTTCTTCTGTGTGTACCCCACCTCATATGCTTTTAGGTGGGAAAAAAACAAAAACCGTGGCTTAATTATCCCTATCAATGTTGTGGTGGTTTTCACTACAACTCCTGCAATGAGACAGCCCTGTTTTCTTCCCTCTGAGACCAGATGGACGCAGCGTTAAGGTAGCCATGCGTTGCCCCTCTTTGCCATGGAGAGAGAAAACTGGGACCGGATCATCTTGAGTTTTGAAGAAATGGCATCAGGAGGGCCACCAATGCCCTCCTCGGCTACACAAAAATCCCCACTGCCATCAAGTCAAATCTGACTCATAGCGACCCTATAGGCCAGGGTCCAACTACCTGGTGTGTTTCCGAGGCTAAAACTCTAACAAAGTAGAAAGCCCCCTTTTTCACTCAAGTGCTTTCGAACTGCTGAACTTGCACTTAGCATCCCAGTGAGTCACCCACTCTGCCACTCGGACCCCTTCCAACTACCGAAGTGGGAAGGAAAATCTGATTCCACAGCTGCCTCAGGATGAGTCCTACGAGGCTGAAGTCAGACACGCCACCACCACCCCCCCTCGCCAACCTTCTTCATCCCTAGTCTGACACCGACCGTCCCTCCCACAGTGGGTGCTTCTCTGCCGGCGTTGATTTCCCATAACAAGAGCCACACAGACATTGCAAACCACGCTCCGTCCGAGAGTTCTTAGGGAAACGAAGGGGTACCACGGTAAGGATACAGCTCTTTGTCTGCAGCGCCTCTTCTCAGCCATGGGGCTCGCCTCGCCGGCCCTAAAGCGCTCCACTTTGTGACCCTTCCAGCTCTGCCGTGTTCCTGTGGTTGGGAAGCCGCCGCTCTGCCTCCAGCCCCGGCGGCTCTGCGGCTCCCCAACGTCGGACAGGGCTCCCACACTGCTCCACTGATGGCTCCTCTCTCTTGACGATGCCCAAGGGGTGCCTTCTTCCCTGGCTGCTGAGGTGGCTCGCTTTGTACCCAGACGAAAGGCAACACGGGCCGTTCCCCTCTATGAACATGTCACACACCCTTTTTGCATGCCCCCCCAAATGACTCGGTGGTAGTAGTTATGGAGACATGGGCAAAAGGGCCCAACCAAATCCTGTCACATCATCACAGTTTTCTGACTCCCTTCCGTTACTGGTTTCTTCGGACTTGTCTGGACCACAGTTGAAGGCTTATCATCTTCTTCACCATCTTCTTGTGGTAAAACCTTCTAGGCTCCCCCATCCTCCAACCTAAAATGGTCCTTGTGCTCCAAACGGAAACGGAAAGAAAGGATAACGTTTACCTGCCAGTGACCTCCCTGCCCCATGCTGTGTCTTCCCTGAATGTAGCCTGAGAGTCTTCCCTCTGACTTGAGGAAGAGCCGGTTACATCTTGCCTGGCGGCCTGCTCTGTAACTTGGTGAGTCAAGTTAACCACATCACAGGTGATTAATCTTCAAGAGTTGGCCTCCCTTATTCTTTTCCTGGCTTTAAAAATAAGCTGTAAGGTGAGAAAGAGGAAATTGGAAAAAGATATTCTGCTGATTCTAACAGCCCCTTTTCCTTTGATTTATGATTCTGTCCTGTCCCCAGGTCTGTCACCTCCTCTTCTGCCTCATGCCACTCGGTGCCACTCTAATCAACCAGGCCCTCGGAGTAGTGTGGCCTGAGGCAGACTGGGAGAGATGTGCTCCCCGGAACCACTGACTGGGAGAGATGTGCTCCCCAGAACTATCTGACTGGGAGAGATGTGCTCCCCACAACCATCTGACTGGGAGAGATGTGCTCCCCGGAACCACTGACTGGGAGAGATGTGCTCCCCGGAACCATCTGACTGGGAGAGATGTGCTCCCCGG